AGGTTCAAAGACATGCTGGACCAGCGGTCACAGCACAACAGAGTACCTACAGACCAAAGGAAAAACACTAATAATTGGCCCAGTTTACAGTCTCTGTTTTCATATTTCCACAGTTTCTGTGGGAGGTGAAAGAAAGGAGGCAGCTGTAGCTAATGAAGAGCGAGATGTAGGAGAGCAGGAGGTGGAGGACAGCAGCCAACATGCTGCTTGGGGAGAGAGCAGGAGGAAGCTTTAAGGTGGGGCTGATGGAGCAGAGAGCAGGTCTGTGTGAACCGTAACGTAACGACAGAACACAGATTTGATCGTGAGGGTCTGTGTGGCTCAGGCTCAGAGGCTGATTAATATCTACATTTGTTTTGTGATGACTAAAATGCCCTGTCTGTGATCTATATAATGTCCTGTTACTGTAGGTAAATATATAAGTAATCAGGTGTGTGTGAATGTTTGATGTTGCAGCAGTAAGCTGGGCTACTCAGCGAGCCCGCCGCTGCTGCAGGACTGAGACTGAGCTGACATATCACATTTACAGAGCTTACACAGAGCCCTCAGTCACTGATGGTAATAACAGCGAGGATGTGCACGTGAGGATAGGATAGATAAAGAGGCTGCAGAGATAATTGAGTTCGAGGAAGTCCCAGATAAGAGACAAAAGTGCATCTCCACAGACTGATGTGCAGCCCGAGGGAGACGCTGGATTAAAGTTCAGTTAGTGGCCAGAGTTTCAAAGTACCCCAACGTTCACCCACTCGTCACCTCTACCAGGTCAAAGAGGCTGTGGGCTGTCTGCACCACAATGAAGTCAACATCTCTCATTTTGCAACTCGTCAAGAAAAGTTTGCCTCAATCTGAGTCCTGCAGGAGTTCTCCTCCTCCCTGGGGCAGGTGAAAGAACCCTAACCCACTTTGGTCCACGACAAACAGAGAAAGCCTTCATTGAACCACGAGGACCCCGCCTGACACTTCTGCCCGTTCCTACACTGAACCGTGAGATTTAACTGGATTGTTCTACGATGGACAGCAGGAGTGAACTTTGAGTTTCTCCTCTGCATTCTTTACAGCTCTGAGAGAAAGTGTCGTAACTGTGGACTCGTCTGTGACACACAGCTGCTCAGACTCTGGTCTACATGCTAACACAGACGTGAGCCCAGCTTTCAACAGTTTGAGGACTTGGACTGGACTGTGGACTTGTCCACATGAGGTTCAACACGCGACACAGACTGTTCCAAACGCTGTCCAGCTAATGGTTCAGCTAATGTCCACTCACCCCACCTCAGCCTGGGCCAGTTAGCAGGTGTTAGCTTCTTCATGGAGCCCACACGCTGACAGTTTAATCTACACACTGAGGCAGATAACTATTAAATCTTTTACTTACTTTCATATTTATTTCACACAAGCTTAAAAAAGCCCAGCTGTGATTGGACAGACGCTGCGCGTGGGAGGGGTTAAGCTAACGGTCAGTTTGTTTACATTTGGCACGGCACACATTAAAAACAATAAAACTTAAGAAACTGCCATTTCTCCAGATTAGCTTTGATTTCACTGGCGATACATATTTTTGTTTTACTTGACTTTTTAAAAATCAGGATACTGAGAGTTTTTTTTTAAAGTGCAAGCAAGCGATTACAAACAAAGCAAAAGCGCAAATAGGATGACCAATGTGTGTTTTTCTTTTTTGTACATTTTGTGTTTTGTTAAAGCACGTAGTTAAAAAATATACTACAAAATTGTCTTAAAAAGAGAAATATAAGCTGATTGGTATTGCTGTATGTTATCGATTGTAAGTAATACATTTCTAAGCTGGTGGGAGAGGAGATGAGAACACACAGAAGACACACGGAGCAACGTTTAAGGAACATGAACCTGAACAACAGCAATGGAAGATATTGTCCTTTGTTTCTAAGTGCTGTAAACAATATCCTCGCGCCCTTGCTTCTCCTTCGTCACTCGTCATCACTTTTGCTCTTGTCTGATTGATCCTGCAGAGACAAAGAGAAGAAGAGTGTTAAGAACGAGGAAGATTAAGAGGCAGAGGATGCAGCGAAGCAGCAACGAGAGGCAGAGCGGCCTGTCGCACAACAACGCTGAAATAAGAAAGCTCTCCGGAGGAAAAAGAGGTGGGACGGCGCGGTCTTCACATCTTTCCCTGTTCCGAGGCTAACGAGGAGAGCAGTGGAGGAGGCTGTCCTTTGAACAGACTCCGTCAGGGCGGAGCGTGCTCCCACCACGGCCGCAGACAGCTGATGAAATCGCTGCGTTCATATTCACGGAGTAACGTGAACGCTCCGAGCTCAGCCAACATAAGACGCTCAAACACTCAGCATCATAAATACAAACACTGATGCAACACCTGGACAAAGGTAAGCTGCTCACTTACGCTGGAAAACACACTAAGACAGTCCTCAAATAGTGCCCCCGCCCGGGGAACACGGACTTCATACAGTGTAGTTGCACAGCCGCTACAGTAGGTGGCAGCGTTCTCAGGATCTGTGCTTTACTTGAGCAGTTAATGTTGCAGATCAATTTAAATTTATTGATTTTGTTTAATTTTATTTTTCAGAATCAAATGGTTCAAAAAATGTTTATAGTTTGAAGAAGGATGTTTTTAATATTTCAGGCAAATCGATGCACTTCTGCAGTAGTTTAGAGAGTCGCAGTACTACTACATGTACTTAAATCCTTTCTGTTACAGACTAAACAACATCGTTAGTCTTTGTTTTAAGTTGATCTACATTTCTTTCTTTTTTGCTTTCTTTAATGTTAATAAGTACGGAGCCCCGCAGGGGACATGGGAGAAAAAGAATTACGACAGACTTTTGCGAGATCTCGCAAAAGTCCGTCTTAATTTTTTTTTTCTCCCATGTCCCCTGCGGGGTTCCGTAAATAAGGATACAATGTTATGCAGAAATGTACTTATAATAACAATTTTATAGACAAATGATACTATTTATAGTGACGGGGAGAGTGGGCGGGGCGTGTTTTCTTCTTCCTCAGGGGGGCGTAACAGAAAAGGATGGAGAAGCACTGCACTGAGGCATGTGAAGGTGGTGCAAACGCTGACATGTAATCACGTTAAAACCCAACGTTGTTGCTCTTAAGCTGGATTGAAAACAGTCGTGCAGATCCAGTGAGACAGATTTAAAGGCTTTTATGATGTTTGTAATAAAAATGATTTTTACAAATCCTAAATTAAATTAGCCGTGCGTGGAACCGCCCGCACTGCTGCTTTCATTTGATGTCACAGCTGCACTTTTATTCACCAAAACGTTCGATTCTCGTCTGTTCTCTGAAGCTGTTCACATAAAATCAGCCTTCCTCAGCCAACTCTTACTGACTGTAAGTGAACGTGGAGCCACACATAATGAATAATACAGAGTCCCTTATACTGCGTTTCAACTGGCTGCTGACGGAAACGTTCCTCGGATCCTACAGAGCGACCCGTGAACTCCCTTTATGTCGGGTTGAGACCACACAGCCTAACGATGTCCATGATTAAAAAATAAAAATGTCAAATAATTGTTGTGAAGGAAGAATCAACGCCTGACTCAGTGACGACTGTCGTGTGGTGTGAGCCCAGGAAAACACTGCTCGCTTAGTTCCAGCATCAGTAACATTTTGGCTGTAGTTTGGTGACTTTATGGAAAAATAGATGAAAATAAAATAAAAATAAAATAAACTAAACCAGGGTAAGTCAATCAGGTTTAGCTGGCAGCAGCGAGGTGCCAGGGCCACCCCTTGGCCTCCCAGTAGATGCACCCCTGGTATAAAAGTTGACCTCTGACCTTGAAGTCAAGGTCACTGGGATTCAAACTCTTTCAAGATTTTTACTACGTTCACCTACGGTATCAACTGAAAGTCCTACATCACCTCGTTCTCACAGCATCGCACAATAAATGGAGAATATAAACATGTGGTTAATATAAACATGTGGTTTTTTGCACCTGTCACACTCTGCTTCACAAACTTGCTCCGTAAGCCATGTTTAAGAAATATTTAGGACTCATTTACATCCTTCTGATGGTCCTTTGGGTCGTTAGATGTGCGATTTGGCTTTTAAATGAGCGGCAAACGCCACATCAACACAGATAAAAGACGTGCTAGCTGACGAGGAATTAAAGGGTGGAATTAAGGGAGGAAAGCACCCTTATTAATTAAAGGGAGCCAGGGGAAGCTCGCTCTATATGACGCGAGTAAACAGTGAATTTGGAAAGATGGTCTTCAAAGACTTTGAGTGTGATTGCATCAGACGATTTACAAAGAAGTTAAAATCTTCACAATCTCATCCCATCAATGAAACTTTGAACTTTTCCCTGTTTGAGTGGCTGAAGCTGCCTGTATGTGCTGCGTCTTATTCCTGCTGCTGTACCGAGCTTCACGAGAAACTTCTACAGTTTGTAACCACAGAACGGCGTTTATGTGGCCTCATCGTGGTTTTATTCCCGTATAGAACAGACAAAGGAACAGACAAGAAAGAGGAGAGGGACGTGGTGCCTGCACAGCTTTAACTTCACATTACTGAGTGAAGCGGAGGATGAAGGCGGATAGCACCGGGAAATATAGTGAACTGAACGTCATTATCTACATAAGC